AGAAAGACGTAACTCCACTTTGGATTGCAATTCAAATATGGCAAGAAATCTACGTTGTATTGCCCTTGTGGTGGCAAAGACACACAAACTGCTGAGCTGTGATGGAACGCTCATAAACATTCCAGCTGCTCAGGGGACAAAACTGCCCGAACATGGGTAGAGAAAATCTTGGATAAGATTCAAATGATTCAAGGAGGCTCAGGGTAGTACAAACATATTTCATTCCCTCCCTTTGATCCCCACAATAGCCCTGTAAGGTAGGTCAGGCTGGGGGAGAATGACTGGCTCATCACTGCCCAGTGAACTTTCTGGCCGAGCTGAGATTTGAACCCAAGTCTTAGTCCCACAATTGAACCTGAGTTTCAATATCCTGTTGTCAGTGCCCTGGCTATCCTAAAGGGCCAAAGAGGGTGTGTTGCTTTTTAGATATTCATAACACCTAATGGAACCTAAGTCCCTGTGTGAAAGGCCCGACACGTTCCATATTTAAAAAACATACACATAGTTCAGCTATCTCAAATACTGAAATCCTAAAGAGTTACAGCCTTCTACATGTGCAGCAGTGGTCACTGGGGGTGTGCGGGGAGGTATTTGTGAATTTCCTGCCTTGTGCAGGGGGTTGGACTAGATGACCCCGGAGGTCCCTTCCAACTTTATGATTCTATGATTCTCAGTCTATTGAACTCAATGGGCATAGAAAGACGTAACTCCACTTTGGATTGCAATTCAAATATGGCAAGAAATCTACGTTGTATTGCCCTTGTGGTGGCAAAGACACACAAACTGCTGAGCTGTGATGGAACGCTCATAAACATTCCAGCTGCTCAGGGGACAAAACTGCCCGAACATGGGTAGAGAAAATCTTGGATAAGATTCAAATGATTCAAGGAGGCTCAGGGTAGTACAAACATATTTCATTCCCTCCCTTTGATCCCCACAATAGCCCTGTAAGGTAGGTCAGGCTGGGGGAGAATGACTGGCTCATCACTGCCCAGTGAACTTTCTGGCCGAGCTGAGATTTGAACCCAAGTCTTAGTCCCGCAATTGAACCTGAGTTTCAATATGCTGTTGTCAGTGTCCCGGCGGCGGCTACCCTAAAGGGCCAAAGAGGGAGGAGCTGAGTGTCCTACAGAGCTTGCAACTAACCAGCCAATTCTCCTTGTGTCTGTTTCGACTATCTGCCTTCTCAGGGGTCATTTCGTAGAAAAAGAGGTGCCGGAGCTCATTAGCATAACTCATTAGCATAACTCATTTGCATATGCCACACCCCCTGACATCACCGGAAGTGTGTCAGAAGGCAACACCCACCGCTCAGGCTCCACTGGACTGTTTTGGATTGCTAGCTATTGGTGGGGGGGGGGAACGCGCAGATCTGTCCTCGCAGAGGAGGGAGAGCTTGTACCTGAATAAAACTTGGTCAAAGGTGCCACTGGACTGTTTTGGACTGGGGGGCCAGGGGGGGGGCTCTGCCGCTTACCTAGCTGCTTCTTGCTCTGACTGAGGGCTGCTGGGAGCAGGGGGCGGGGCTTGTTGCATGTGCCCGCCCCCTGGGCTCTTTACTGCCGAAGCTCGGCTCCTGTGCGCTCCTGCAGGAAATGACCCCTGTGCCTTCTCCTCCTATCAGGTTTGACTTTCTCAACCAGGCCCAAACTCTTTGCGTTGAATTATCTGCCGAATGGTCTTTGCCGGTAGATCTGTTGTCCTTTCACTTCGTGTTGGATGACGTCTTCATGTGTGCTTTTTAGGATGTCTACCTTTAATTGTTTTATTTATTTATTTATTTATTTTATTAGGAGAGGTAATTGTTGGCAGAGGTGGTGAAAGCAGGGAGCAAAATATATCTCGGTAGAACCAGTGAACCGATTGAAGCAGTTCAACATCATATCCGTGTCCTTTTTCGACGTGTCCTTTTAGATACTTTCATAACCCCAAGGGTTTTATGGCAAAGATGTATCTGCTGCATCCTTAACTGCATATGCATAGTTTCCCCACTGTGCAGACACTGGGGTTGACCCTTGGAGATTGTACAGCCAGCGTCAAGCTACTGAAACGAGTTCTTCCTAGTGAATGTTTCCATGTTGTGGGGGGGAGTCATTGGTGAGTGTACAACAGTGGCCAGAAACAGTGCCAGTTTGGTGTAGTGGTTAACAGCGCAGACTCTAATCTGGGAGGACCAGGTTTGATTCCCCACTCCTCCACATGCAGCCACTGGGGTGACCTTGGGTCAGTTACATGTTCTTTCAGAGCTGTTCTCTCAGCAGCAATTCTCGGCAGAGCTCTCTCAGCCCCACCTACCTCACAGGGTGTCTGTTGTGGGGAGGGGAAGGGAAAGTAAGCTGCTTTGAGACTCCTTCGGGTAATGAAGGGCGGGGGTATAAATCTAATCTCTTCTTCTTCTCTTCTAAGGCAGTGATCAGAGACTAAGGTGGGGACATAGTATAGTATAACATGTTATTGGCTCTCCTCCCTGATTTTGGTGTTGTTTCTTTATGTGTTTTTATTTAATTGTTTTATAATTCTAAAAGTTCTTTTTAATTGTTCAAGTGTTCTCGTGTTTTTATTTTCACCACCTGGGGTCATGGATTGGGTGGAAAGATAGCATAAAACCGTTTTAAATAATAAATTATAATGATGATATTTAAAAAAACAAACAAACAAAGAAAACAATGGATTAACCCTTTCTAAAAAAGTGTTTTCCCAAACTCAATAGAATGGCTGTAGTTTCCCAGGATCAGATACAGAGAAACAAAAACTGTCAAAGAGGAAAACACCAAATGGTGTGATGTAAGGAAGATGCAGCGACAAAAACGGCAAATGCAATCTTGGGGTGTATCAACAGAGGCATAACATCCAAAGCACAAGATGCCCTAGTCCCGCATTACACTGCATTGGTCAGGCCACACCCGGAGTCCAGTGTTCCCTCTAAGCTGAGTTGGTGTGAGCTAACTCACAGTTTTTTAGCCTCCGGCTCACACATTGTTGTCTTAACTCAGGAAGAATGGCTCCAGTCCAGAGCAAACTAATTTATGCAGTAGCCGAATCACCTGCCTGCTCACAACTTTAATGCTGGATGGATGCTCACAAAGTAGAATTTTTGCTCACAGGACTCCACAGCTTAGACGGAACATTGCCGGAGTCTTGTGTGCAGTTCTGGAGGCCTCACCTAGAAAAGGATGTGGGCAGAATGGAGCGGGTGCAGAGGAGAGCGACGAGGGTGATCAAGGGCCTGGAGACCAAGCCCCGTGAGGAAAGGCTGAGGGACCTGGGGATGTTTAGTCTGGAGAGGAGGAGGTTGAGGGGGGACAGGATTGCTCTCTTGAAGTATTTGAAGGGCTGTCACATTCTGCCATGGTAGGGAGCTGTTCCTTTCGGCAGTGGAGAGGACCTGTAAGAATGGATTTAAATTAAGGGCAAGGAGGTACCGGCTGGATCTTAGGGAAAACATTTTGACAGTCAGAGTTGTGCCACAGTGGAGTCGGCTGCCTAGGGAGGTGGTGAGCTCCCCCTCACTGGCAGTCTTCAAGCAGCAGCTGGACAAACACTTCTCAGGGATGCTCTAGGCTCAGGGGTCATCTCATAGAAAAAGAGGTGCAGGAGCTCATTAGCATAACTTATTTGCATATGCCACACCCCCTGACATCACCGGAAGTGTGTCAGAAGGCAACACCCACCGCTCAGGCTCCACGGGACTGTTTCGGATTGCTAGCTATTGGGGGGGAAGGGAACGTGCAGATCCGTCCTCGCCAGGGGTCGATTCGGGGGGATCGTGGGGGATCGCCGTTCCCCCGGGTGAGGTGCGGGGGCAGGGCACACGACAAAGCCCCGCCCCCTGCTTCGGGTCGGGGTAAAATGGCGATTTGACACAACCTGTAAGTGCTCAGGGTGGACGGGTGTTCCTTACAGCAGTTTGGACTGTATTTTG